GACACAGGAGAAATAACTGAAGCAGCTGCTTCTTTTGTCTTGGGGGCAATTAACAAAGAAGCACTTTCAATACAGCAGAGCTTTGAAATCAGCTTTACTCAGGTAACTGCTCGAGATGTTACGGATGACTTGTTGAAAGACATTTAATTACAAAACTTATTAAACTTGAATCAGAACAATTGTTAGCAGCAAGGTAAAATGTAACTTGCCCTGGATACACAAATGAGGCAGCACTTCAGAACGGGGCAATAAAGGTCTCCAAAGTCTGTTTTTCACATTTAGAAGAGTCAGCTTGTGACTCTGTATAACTGTACCCAGTGAAAGCAAAGCCTGCCCCAACATTAGAGAACTGTTATGATCTTATAGAGCAGTCTCACTACTATCATAATTTAAGGCAGTTAATAATCTGAAAATAAGTGAAATATTTCTGTTTTCCAACCACTTCAGTAAGGATAAGAACTAATACCATAACGTTTGCATTGCAGGTAAATACAACGCCAGTGCCTCTCAGTGGTAATCCCGGTTATGTTGTTGGACTGCCTATAAGAGCGGGCTTCTGGCCACAAGGATATCCTTGCCCTGTTGAAATTTTGTTTGCAGCACTTGTTCTGGTCCATCTTCACAAACACTTCCTAGCATGGACATCTATAAAACGTACCCGTTCTTTAACAAAAGGGAAAGTGTGCTTTTTTTGGCTATGTTTTAGGAGTAGCGACTGACAGAGTCCTGACTGCACTGGAGCAGGAAAGGCTGAGAGAGTTGGGCTTGTTCAGCCTGGAGAAGAGAAGACTGAGAGGGGACCTTATCAACACATACAAATATCTTAAGGGCGGAAGTCAAGAGGACGGAAGCAGTCTGTTTGCAGTGGTGTCCAGAGACAGGACAAGGGGCAATGGGTGCAAACTGAAACATAAGAGGTTTCAGTTGAATATGAGGAAAAACTTCTTTACTCTAAGGGTGACAGAGCACTGGAACAGGCTGCCCAGGGAGGTTGTGGAGTCTCCTTCTCTGGAGATATTCAAAGCCCGCCTGGATGAAGTCCTGTGTAGAATGCTCTAGGAGAGCCTGCTCTAGCAGGGGGGGTGGACTAGATGATCTCCTGAGGTCCCTTCCAACCCTTGCCATTCTGTGATTCTGTGATCTCCTGGGACTTCTTAGTGAGGTAGATTGAGACCTTCATTTTACACTGTGCAGAAGCACTAGAGTGCAAGAGGAGTCTTGAGCTGTTATAGCATTTTCAGATATATTTTAAGGATCTGATTAAGGATTCTTTTTTCATGATATACCTCAAATATTGAATTTCCCTTTAACTGTGTGTTACATCTGGCATCATTCAGAATACTAACAAATACAGTCAACTTACCATTCTGCAAAGTACATCCAACCAGGACTGTCTGGCAGCACAGGGAGCCAGAACCCCGATATTATTTGGTTATAACATGATATCAGGCTGTAAGTTACGGTAAGCGGACATTTCTCTTTTTTTTGATTTAGTGCTTTTAACCCTCTGACAGTCCTTTCCATTAGGATCTGTATGGGTCCTGGGACATTTATACTGCTGTAGGAGTATTTAATTATAAAAAAAGTCATTTAATTAACAATGGTCTTTCTCTTGAAAAGATTGTGTACATTAGCAACTGTAGCCAGAAGGCTTGAACAGTACATGAGAGCAAGGAGAAATTATTACTGTGCCAAACCAATGGATTTTGCTTTAACCTGTCTTTTTTTTTTTTTTTTTTTTTTTTTTTTCTGGAAGAATTACTGCAGCTATGAAATGCCAGCCTTTGACTCAGACCCTCCTAGATTTACTGAAGGGACAAAGCTTTCCTGAATACGTGGCCTCATTTGGAAATTCTCAAGCCCACGATGTGCTCGACTGGGTGCCAATAACTCATGTCCACCCCTCAAAACAGGTGAAAGTTACACCACTACCACCACCCCCTTCACTCTTACTGTCCTTTTTCCTGAGATCCATACCTGCACTGCAGCATCAGCTTAGATTTCTCAGACCTATAGGGGAAAAAAAAAACCAAAAACGCAGAAACAAACTGGAGGAAAGTCCTCCTGGAATGTTCACCAATGAGTTTCACTCTTGCTGTAGAAGACAAGGTTTACTTTTAATCAAGCTGATATCCAGGCACCTCAGTTATGGATCAGGACAACATGTTAGGTACAAAATGAGTTCTAGTCACAGTTTGGTCTTGTTCTTCAGATGGGATGAAGCAGAAGATGTAAGGTTGAAAGAGTGAAGTAACAGAATCAGTATTTCTCCTTGGTGCTCTTAGGCTACTTAGAGTAAGACAGCAAGAAGCCTTTAAAGCACAGAAACAATATACTTGAGTGACCCAAACACTGCATTTATTCTTAACATTTTCTCTGCTAGCCCTTTTCCTCCCCATGCAGCGCAGTCCCTGCTCTTGGTGGCAGGCAGTGCTTCTTGGCACGTGCTGAATGACAGCATCCCCTCCACGACAGCTCGTATATAGGTTTCTCGCATGCTTTTGCAACTAAGCAGTGAATGATTTCTGTGACCAGAAACTTGACAGTTCAAGAAGAAATACCTAAAAATACTTAAGATTGTAGGCTTCAAAATTCCACCCTGGCAGAGTTAAGGATTTTTCTACTGTCCCAGCAGTATTACTGAAATAAGTGTTCCTACTAAAAAGAGCCAGCTCAGCACTATCACTGCCCTGCTCAGGTGGAACAGCCCTGCCTGAAGCAAAGTTACAGAGTCAGTTTGTCACCTCTGGAGAAACGGCAGGGACACCCCCGAGCCAAGGCTGCAAGCGCCTGCGCTGCCTGCACAGGCAGCAGTCCAGGGCACAGGCACAGCGCAGTTGCTCTGGTAACCTCCCGGAGCGAGCTTTCTGGGGGCGTTCTGCCATTTTAATAAGATGAATAATTAATGTGGTTGCTTCTGTACAAGTCAGACAATGAGAGAATTTGTAACACTTTTCAGAGCTCATGCCAGATACCAGTATCACTTGAAATAGAAGTGAAGTGGACTAAATATGGATCCCTTGTCAATCCACAAGCCAGAATAGTGAATATTACAGCCACAGTCACTACCACCACGTTGAAGCAGGTATGTAATTAAATGACAGGATTTAAGATAAAAAGAATGGTTTGTTTTGCTTCGGTATCAGCTGTGCAACAGTGACCCAGTTAATCTCTTTATCTGAAGGTAGCACTTCATATTAGAATGTATTACACCCAACAGTTTCTGTTCCAACTCAAACACAGCTGTAGGCTGCTTGCCAAAACACACTTCAATAAAAATCTATATATCATTTATGAAAAGAAACATGGAACTGTATATGAAAAAAAAATTGTACAAATAACAGCTGAAAATATAACCCAGTCCAAACAAAGCAGTCGTACAAAGAGAAGACTGAAGCTAATGTCCACTTGTGTTTTCATTGCAGCTTCCATCCGGAAGGGAAAGGACTATTCCTATAACAAGTTCTGTTGTTTTCACTGATGTTTCTTCACCTGCAGAGCCAGGCTATAAAGCTTGGCCCACCATTAATGCCAAGTTACCCTTTGATTTTTTCTTTCCATTTGTCTAAGGTAAGTATGCATCAAAAAAACCAGCCATATTTCTGCTTTTTCTGATTTTCAGTACATTTCCTAAAGAAGTGAGGTTTATCCAGTCACGGTAGTGGGCCATCAGGTTCTTCTAAATTGTAGATACACTGGGTTAAAATTGGCCAAGAGAGAAAGGGTGAAGCCTTGTGAGGGTTCTCAAAAGCTTTAGAGCAGAAAAAAACCCCACATTAAGTGGAAAGTTCCCAATTATACCTTTGCTGAGAGGAAAAAAAAAGGTTGCAGTATGACCCCAAGGGCGGCTCTGGCTGGCCAGTCAGCACATGGACAGCCACCAGCCTTCCCGCGGGTCGGATGCTCTGAAGTAGCCCGAGCTGCCTGCCTAGCAAGGGAAGAGCACAGGGATGCAGCATGGCTCCGAGGGAAAGCAGGTTTCATTATTCTGTGAACAGCAGAGCTAAATTGTTAATTAAAGTCATCATGTGCTATTAGATAAGGCCTCTGCTTTATCTATTTTCATAGATGAATAAGCCACATATTTCTAGCTATTTTTCCCAAACCACTAATTAATTACCTTTCTTTAAAAATCCGAAGAGTTCAGTTATGCTTTCAGAAAAGCTCAATGACCCTTCCAGCTGACTCTGGCTGAAATCAATTGGAGACGCCTGCTACAGTCAACACCTTTCAAAATTCCCCCTTATTGAATCTTACTCTTCAGCTATAAAATAGTCTCGCCACAGAGACCTCCTAATACCTGAAAAAGTTCACATCGTGTTCAAACGCCAGCCCGATCTTTTAGAATCTGCTTTCTAATGGCTTTTCTGGAGTCTAACTGTTCCCAGCAGTCCATTCACCTACATCTGTTCTTACATATTCTAATTCTTTTAATGTGTTGATTTATGAGCTGCGGAAGCAGAAAGCACTTTGTAGCCCAGTGGGCCGCAAACGAACACTTAAAATGGAAGAAGAGATGAGAGAACACAGTGTCAGAACCCAAATCTGCTGCTGAGAACAAGGCATTGTTTGACGTAAGATGGCACATGTTTGCCTCTATTTTAGTGCCGATTTGATTGTCAACTAAAGGAGTGGTATGTGGGTATTTTTGAAATGAACGTTATATAAATAACAGAGCAGCACAAGCAGCAACAGAAATGAGGAAACTACCAACAATACGAAAAGAATGGTTGGCAAAGAGGAGATGTACTAATGACGAGTGGGCAGCTTGCAGAGAAGAAATGACCTTTTCAGCCTGGATTCTTATCATTCGTACTGCAAGTTTCTACAAGACGTTGCAAGCAAAGAACATTATCACAGAAAAATTGAATTATTTAGAAGAAGCGGTACTTTTGTGGGTGTACAGCTTGTACAGATGGGTCTTTATTAAATTATTTTGCAGTTTTGACTGTACAACTGTACAAGAAAGGTCTTACGAAATCTCTGTTTACAGGGAGTACGCGTGATTAACTTTCCAGCAAAATTATTTTCGTGATCCCAAGGTCTAATCAAAATGTGGTCAAATAGAAAATGTTTATAGACAACACTATATGAGGGAAAGCAAAGAGAGAGGAAAACCTTTCAGGTCAAACTGGTAGATTCCAACACTGCACTCTCGAGGGCAGACTTCCCCACCTCGGAAAACTGCCCTCCTATTTTTGCTCGCCGATGAGTCCGTGCTGTATCAATATCTTGTTAAGCCTCTCAATTTCTTGCTCCTGTTGGAGACAAGAAGTCAAATCATTATTACAGCTCTTACATTTCAGCAGCAGGGAGGTCTGTGGGAACCTGGAAAACTATTTTAAGGTATCTCACTGCAGTAAAACAGGACAACCTGGCTAAATTAAGTAGGACGGAGGTAGCCGTCATTCCTTTGCAACAGAAGCAGCGAAGGGAAGGATGGGCAGGACAGGCGTGGCTGTGGTTCTCCAGCCCAGCTCACCCCACAACTTTCCAGTGAAGCAACCAAATTGACCAGTGGCAACCTTGCAAAAGGATCCCAAGCCAGCTCGTCCTGGGGAGCAGCCAGCGGGGAAACTTTGTTTAAATTGGAAGTGTTTTCTTACCTTCTCTACACAGCTGTGTTCCAGTTGTTCAACCTTGGTTGCAAGTTTCAGGTTTGCTTGCTTTAGCTTGGACACTTGTTGTTCAGAGCGGGTCTTCACCGATAAAATTATTCCTGTGGAACAATTCACAGTGGATTGGTTTTACAATGTAAGACAGCCACTAGCAGGAGGTTAACAGTAGGCAGGGTCTGTTCTCAAGGAGTTAAACGTGTTCCTCTCCAGCTCTGGTTCTGTCATCTTCAAACCACCCTTCCCAAGTGCTTTTCTTAATGAGGGGGGTTCTAAATTAGCCACCCCAGGGACTCAGATACCAGTACTCTGCTGGGAAGAGGCAGTCTGGCCTCTGAGCCGAATTAATCAGTCACACTGTCACTCAAATCCCGAATTTGAATTCACTCCCTTGGCAGAGCCTGGGCTGGATGTAACCGGCAGCTTTGCTGTAAGGGGGGGGCGGCTGCGTTTTAGCCAGATTCACGTAGTCGGGAGCCTTGCTCCAAGCGCACAGCACAGCCCGGGGCACAAGGCTCGTCCACCCCCCAGGGTCGATGGCTTCTGCCTGGTGTAACAGGACATGGAACCTCATCGGGTCCTTCAGGTCCTGCCTTCACCTTCTGCGGCTCCAGTTAAGGGCACGCAGTTTCTCCATACAGCGGAGGTGTCACTTCTCTACTGAAATATCATTAGGTTATTACATGTGAACTCGGCCCCCACAGCAGAGGCATTTTTCCTCCCACCCTTTTCTGAGGGGGGAAAAAATAAAAAATAATAAAAAAAAAAAAAAAAAAAAGGCTTGATAAGAA